ATAATAATAATAATAATAATAATAATAATAATAATAATAACAACAACAACAACAACAACAACAACAATAATAATGTTTTTTCCAGGATCGCTTTGACTCCATGCGACAGGAATTGTCAGATAGCAAGAGGCAGAATCATAGCTTGACTAATACAGTACATTTGTTACAAAATCGGCTGGCTGACATGGAACTACAGTACAGAAATCTGGAGAAGCAGAAGCACCATCTCCATGAAGTAAGTGATGATGGGAGAGAAGGATTAATTTAACAAAATGATCTTATGGCTCCATGTTATCTTGAATCAATTTCAAGCCAAGTGGGAGTCCATCCTTAATTGTTATATGGATTATGTAGTAAGCCAAGTGTCACAGAAAGACTCCCTTTGAAAAGTGCACGTGCCGTCATTGTTGACAAATGGCAGAACCTTCTTCTCTAACGCTGTGCACTTTTACGAGTTATCTTTGTATTTCAGAATTTATTGTGGGCTCTTATTTTCCCTGTTGAAATATTCAACCAGAGGAAAACTTACCAGTACTTTTAAAAGAAACAAACAAACTACACTCCCCAAATTCTTTTATCTAACATTTCATTGTATCATACCTTTCTTTACTCTTCATAGTTAACTTCTCCCAGCTCAAAGAGCATCTCCTGCACTGAAAAAATATATTTTCCTTAGGTTCTGATCTACGTTTCTTGGAGGAAAAGCAACTTTAAATTTTTCACATTTTTTTTGTCAAGAATTGTGGATATTTCTCATCTTAGAGAAGCAAGGCCCAGAGAGGATTGGCAAAAGAGTTCCACAATTTTCTTTTCTCGGGTTTGTCCTGGATATGCTTCTTTTTTTGAATTGTTCAGGTAGTAAAGCAAACAGATGTAACCTGATAATTCTTCAGAAGTTATTAGGTTCTTTTTAAATGCAGTCTCTGCATTACAGCATTATTAATAACTAATGCTTTTTATTACCATTGTAAAATATAACATAACACATACAATTTACAATATACAAAAGGAAAAGGAAAAATTGCACATAATAATTATTTCTATAGGATTATATGTTTAGTGCCCTAACAAAAAGAAAATTGCTGCTAAAAGTAAGACGGACATCTGCATGTGACATATATTTCTGCTGAAGGCATAGTGCACAAAGTGAGTTATTCTCCATTATTCATTTTATTCTTAGCACTATAATATAGCAACAAGCAATTTAAAAAACATGATATTCCTATTTGCATCCCTTATTGACAATATCCCTATTGACAAACAATATTGATTGTCATTAGGGTTTGGGGTTTGGTTATTTTTCTTTTCTTTCTTTTCTACCTAAATTCGACATAATTGTCTTTGGCATCATATTAAGCCACTCAAAGTCATTCTTGAAACTGAGCAGCATATCAATTTCAGAAATAAAAAGATAAAATTTGTTATAAAATGTGAAACATTTTGTATTGTTTTAAACAGAAAGGTTTTTAAAAGAAAACTTTTTATGCTTGAATAGAATTTCTATTCTTTCTGGGAAATGAAAACATTTGCAATCTTTGTTTTGCATAGATGATTACTGCTCTGATGTTCTTGAATGTAAATAATGCACACACTATTCGTCCTTAAAGTGAAGTTTCAGATTTCACTTACATATGTAAATCTTTAGTTATCTGCTTTCCTTGTCTGTTCAGAGAAGTAACTAACATACAGCATCAAGGCACTAGTTCAAATTCACAGAACTCATTTGTTACACGTGTTTGATATCAGCAGAGGCACTTTTGGATTAGCCTAATTAGCACTAGCAATGGAAATGTATAATACAAACCATCCAGCTGAACCTTCCACTGAAATTAATGGAGCTTCTTCTAAGTGACCCTTGTACATTCCCGTGACCCGTCAAAAGCGCGAATGTCATAAGCGTGCTGACAACACCGCGGCGCTAAAACCCGATTTCAAAAGCGCGCCGACAACAGCGTGCCGACAACAGCGC